TAATAACCCTTTATAATGCATTTAAATAAAGTGTTACCAAAAAAAGCTCATCAAAATGAAAAAATCACATAAAATTACTAATTAGAATGAAAATTGAAAATACAAACAAAAAGCTCATTCAAAATATGCTAATAATAATATATAAACAATCCTAAAACAGCACAGCTTATATTACATTTGCACAATGTTAGTGGGTTAAAGGTGGGGTGGAAGGTAAGGTGGAGCTATATTTGGTGTAGTGTTGTCACGGTACCAAAATTTCAGTATTCGGTACCGATACCAGTGAAAATCCACGGTTCTCGGTACCAATTTCGGTACCAAAGCAAAACACAAAAACATGCTAGTTGAACAACATTTTTATTAATAACCGACTTGGTACCGAAATACCGGGTCTTTTGACAACACTAATTTGGTGTGTGAGATTTTCGACCGTGTGCCACAGCTGACTGAATTTGTAGCGGACAGACTGAGGGGGGTTTATTTTTAACAGCTCAAGTTTCTTGACAAACTCAGCCTATGTTGCCTCTTCCAGGTCCAGATGGACAGCTCTACTGATACCCTTGCTTATTCATTTCATGCCATAAAGAATCAACATTCTGAACGCCAATAGATGTTTTTTCTTTTAGCTACTTTCTCTTTCCTCTGGTTCCGGTCCAGTGTCACTCCCTCCCAGTTTGTCCTTTATCCAGAAACTGCACTAGGAGAGATTTGTGGCTCAGCTGCTCCGTTGGTACTGCGCTCTGAATGACTTTTATGTGCTAATGACTCTGTTTAATGAAACCTTGTAAAATTCTGCACATGGTGAAGGAAGCCTAATTTAAAGGCTTGGAGATTTCTAGCTCACTAAATTGCAGAACTGATGGCTCTGTTCTCCATTAATGATTCAAGCTTTCCAGAGTGTGTGGCAAGACAGATATCTGATAAACAGATTATGTGCAAAACATTAAAAATTCCTGTATGGAAATATCTGTCACAGACCTCTCAACTGAGATAACATAATTTGCATTTAATCTCACTCAAGTGAGTATGAACACACTATAAGTACTGTCATTCTTAAAGATGTAAACTGAAAATGGATCCAAGAGACAGGTGACGCTATATTAGCCTTTCCAGTTCATAGTATCACCATAGCAACCCTCCTGGAGACTAAATACTTTATAAAATGGTAATGTCATACATCTTTATATGGTAGATTGATTGCTTCAGCAGTACCAGATATCGGAAATAGTAAAATAAATACTGGAGACGACAGAACTACACAACAGCTCATAAACCTGGAGCACATTTACATGACTCTTGAAGCTAGATGATGGCACATACAGAGCCGTAAAGACTTTTTGAGACATTTTTTTTTAAACATATACGCTATTAGGTTGAGCGACATCAGCCTAATGTTAATACGTACATGTAGGCGCTTTACATTAGCCCCCCTCAAGTTGATATGTTAGCAGGTGGTTTCTCTGCTAGGCTAATGTGATGGCTAAGCAGGTCCATATGCAGTGTGCGCTTACATATGAAGGTTACAGGAGGACATTTGGAAAGATCAGAGGCTCTCAGCAGCTGGGGAAAATCTCCTGCGTTTAATGTAAAGCTGAAGTAGCACGGAGATGAGAAAGCGTCACTGTTAGAAACCAGCTAAACGGCACTGCCATCTAGAGGCACGCACAAGCCACAACCAGCCGGAGCATATGAAGCCTCCCTCCTGTCAGAATCACTAATTACATGTTGAATTGCCTGTCACAAGCCGTATATTTAGTACTGACGGTGATATTAGTCTTAGTAATGAGTCTTTTTCTCAGCCTGGATGGGTTTAGTCTATCACCAGGAACATTAAGGTAATAACAAATCATGGCAGGCTACTCCTTCTCACCCCTGCCTAATCAAAGCTATCCATTCAACACACCCAGTGAGGTCTTCAATGAACACCATACATCTCCTCAAACACCGAACTGTGGACCGTAAGTCAGGTAAGATCAGCCCTGTTCAGAAGAAGGCTTGCGCAGATCTGTACAACTAATATTACATACTGTAAGTTTGGAGAAAGATGGCAGTTTATCAACCAGCGTGACTGTAATAAGGTTTATTGCAGAAAGCGTTCACGCTTAAGTGGTTGGTACAATTATGGCCACCTTAGGAAAGATTCCCACTGAGATGTTTTTGCAACTCTACTTGGTCTACTTGAAATTCTCTTATTCCGCCCCTCCAGTTAAGCATTGGGAGACTGATAACAGGGAAATTAGAAGGAGGGAAAAAAGAAGAATCGACTGCCCTTTATTAAGAATCCCTCCCTGTGCCTTCTGGCAGTGTCTGGCGGTTCCACACTCCCCAGCCCTGCCTGCTTGATTGACGGAGGCATTTCCACAGCACCGGCTCCGGCTGTGATGTTTTTCCTTTTAGGGAACAGATAATTAATTCCCTTGGGTTGAGCAGACGATTGTTTTGTAGACACACTCCTCTCTTTATAAAACGTACTAATGCTCCATTAATTGAATTACTAATCTCGTCAAGTATTTAAATGGCTCGACAGGTTAAAGAATAATTAATGCATTAACCACATGAAATGTTTTAATATTGAAGATAGCTGCTATTTTTGGATGAAAGCGCTAATGTTCATTGTTATGACACGAAGGTGAAGTTTTAGGAGCTGCAGTTAGTAGTATAAAGATGATGAGCCTGTTTAGGATGACAGTCATAATTTTGCAAGGTTAAATCTATCAGTGAGAGGAACAGTGTCAGGGCCTTTCAGCTCCATTGGAATAAAAAGCAGATGTAACTCGTCAAACAGAAGAGGACTAAACTATCAGGAGGGAAACTTAATAACAAAGGACAAGCACTCCCGTCTTTTAAAGCGAATCAGTTTATATAGTTTGGTTTACAAAAAATGTCTGTATACATAATGTCATTTTCTCCCAGTACAAACTAACGCGTGACTCATTCAGTGAGAACATACAACTAGATGTATTTACAGCGCAAGCAATCATTCCAACAAAATAAACATGAAAACGTAACCACATGTACTGTACTACTCACTACTGGCAGCCGCTACGGTTGAAGAGGTATAGCTTCCACAGTTAGACAATGCATCCCATTTTTGAGTAGATGTGTCCTACAAGAATAATTTACAACACACTGGCATCTCTAAACGTCACATACACAGTACACACACACATTCAGATCTCTCTCACACACACATGCATAGACACATGATTTGGAATTCTGTCAGTTCTATTAGCTGCGACCTGAAGGCTTGTCAGTTGATGCCAGAGCTTATATGACTGGCATAATGGCATCCACTTTGCAAACATGTTAGAAGACCAAAGGAAGGTGTTGACATTCGGTATCTAAGGCAAACAAACACGCATTTCTTTTCACTTGAATTCCTGAACATACATGGACAAAGGTGTACAAATGGAATCATGTTGATGAAACGTTGTTCTATATTCCTGAACACAAAGACACACTTTGGTCCCCTTGTCCATCCCACGTGACATAGCTTACTGGCAACTTGAACATCAATATATCATACAGCTGATCAAACAACTGCTACTGTATGGATGTAAAGTGTAGAGAGAAAAAAAGGGTTTTTATAAGGACAGGATTTAACCTGCTTTTGTGCAAGGATGCACAACTTTCAGGGTTTAAAAAAACATTTAGATTACTTTTGCCAGCATTAAATGTTCACTTAAAGTTTATCTTTAAAAACACTAATAATTCAGTAACACTGTTAAATGTAATACTTAGCAAATCTTAAAATGTTGTATTATATTGTTTTTTTTAAACAATAGATTTTTTCGCTTTTAGCATTTTATTTTAATTTAGTCATAATAGTATAAATATTAATATCGGCCATTTATAGTTTATCAACCATAACATAAAATAATCATTGTCTTCTCATATTGGCCAGAATCTTAATACTGGTGAATCCCTTTTTGTGTTTAATGTAGTAAGCTGTATAGTCAGATGATCTGGACAGGAAGGAGCTCTAATATACAAAAACCCTTTTTTTACTCTACCCAGTGTACAAAATACATATTGAAATGTTCTAGTGACATAATTGTCAGGAATAATAGCAGAATAAAATAAGTGTAGTTTGCCATTCATTCATCAAAGCATTTCCTTGTCTTGCAATAAATTATTAGAAACTTAATAGTGATTAAGGAAGCGCTCTGGTCACGATATCCAAATGTCATTTTAGAACTTAAATTAAAGACAATTTCTTTTAACAAACAGTTCTGTACTGGCATTACTGGATAACTCAGTTAGCTGAAGGAGATGATTGTGATTTTAGGATCACTTTTAGAATAATCAACAAGAAAGGAATTAGGGATGCTCCGATCCGCCTTTTTCACCTCCGATACCGATTCCGATACCTAGGGTTCGGTATTGGCCGATACCGATACCGATCCGATACCAGTTACGTTTTTTTCCCTATTTAAATAAATGTAGAATTTATATATCTCTGTGTGTGGAACTGATAATCATTATTTCACAATCTTCTAGACAGTTTTAAATTTCAGTTACTGTGCACGTTATAAACAATTTATAGTCTTTTCTATAGTCTTTTCTACGCCCGTGTTTTGTTCTCAGACACCCGGTAGCAAGTAACAAAACAACATTAAACTCCGGCAAGAAGATAAAGTCCTTTTTGCAAAATCATAGACATGTATTTACAAATCAAGTATAATAATGGGAACACAGAATGATCTTGGAGAGAGCTTTACCGAGCTGACTGCTGTAACCGAACGCGACCAGGGTTTAAAGGCTGAACGAATGACTGACAGCCACAACGGAGAAAAGAGTTTGTGTGAACTTTAATGTAAGGACTTAAATATTCATATGTAGCTCACATTAAGCTATTGTATGGCTTCAGAAGTAACACAGAATAATTTGCACAATCAGGGAAAAAATAAAAAATAAAAATCTCGGATTTGGATCGGCCCTCTCTGACCGATACCCGATCCGAGAAAAATGGCACTATCGGAGCCGATACCCGATATGAATATCGGATCGGCGCATCCCTAAAAGGAATGAATGCTTTTTTTTTAAATAACAGCCACCATGAACTGTGAGGGAACACAAGACAGCGTGAACATAAACTTGTAGATTACATTCTCATCGGCATACTGGAACTCCAGTATAAGGAGGAACTTTGCTACATAGAACGGGATCCCCTGCCACAGTCAGGACTTATGATGACAAGAAGAAATAAGAGAAAAAGAATCGACATCACTACAAACAGTGACACATATATCCCTGCTTTAAATCAAAAGGACAAACATTTGTAAGAATAAAAGGGAAAATATATTTTTCTTTTCTAAAAATGCCCCAAGAAAATAAACAGACAAGTTTCTACTCTCTTGCAAACTGAAAGGCAGGCACTGAGAGATAAGATCACTGTGTCCATTTGCCGTCAATCAGCCCTGGGTGCCGATGCAACCGAATTTGGCTGAGGGGGACAGGAAACAGAAAACAAGACGTGTTGTTTGCTGACAACATTTGGCTCAGTGAGTCTTTCTGTAGCGTTAGATTCCCTTTTCATGGATTCGGTCTACATTCACTCATACACACACATACTCACAAGTGTGAAAAGAGAGAAAGTGCTTCCGGTCTGTTTGCGTTTCCACAGTTCTGCAGCCACGTGTCCAGCCCCTCCCTGTTCTCTGTCCTTGAGGAGCAGGGACACTCCACACCCTGGAGGACTGTGTTAGGAAGTGAGTGTGTGAGTGCTCGGGGCTGTGAGCTCAGTCTGTCATGCGGGGGATGTTATAAGAGTAGTGTACTAAAGGGAGACCGCGGCTCTGACAGAAACAGGCTCGGCCGCACGCCTGCACTTGCTCCGAACTGTCCGACACGAACGAATCGCCCTCGTCCCCATATTCCGACTGAGCGGAAAGGGTCCCGGTGTCGGGCCAGTACCCCTCTGAGCTCAAGCACTGGGGTGTGTTTGCCATCAAGGCCGGGCAGCTGTGGGACTTCACTAAATGTCTGCAGGCTGAGGAAGAGGAAGAAGCAGAAGAGGAAGACGTGTTGATGTGAAGGGCGGCGTCACAGTGTTCACACATTCCCCGAGTGTCCCTGTGGAGCTTCGTGTACATTCCGCAGTCGCTAGACAGGCCTTCGCCATCGTCGGATGCCGCCGAACCCCCTGCTACCGTCCCTTTGGTAACCGCTTTCCCGACCAGCCCGCCGCAACCTCCGGCCCGCCCCCGTCCTCTAAGGCGAAGCCAGTCGTATCTGAAGGAGGGACTGAAGCAGACGTAGAGCACGGGGTTCAAGCAGGCAGAGAGAGGAAAGAATATGAGCGTCACGGATTTGGCCATCTCTGGTCCGCCCACTGCAGTACTGGTCCCGGCCAGCAAGGGAGCGAAAGAGAAAGCCGCCACCGGACAGAAGAAGATGCAGTTGGTGAAGATGAGCCAGGCGATGTGCCTCACAGACCCGGCCTGCTCGGGGTCAGCCAGCTGGGCACGGCCCAACCTGCAGTATAACCGCGTATAGACCACCGCGCTCAGCAGGTACGCTAGTGTGTTCATTAGCACCAGGGCCACTGTGAACCCCAGGCCTGGTCCGTGACCTCCGGAGAAGGGCAGGCAGAGAGGAGAGCCCATGGCTGATCCATGATACAGACTGAGGCAGGCGGCTGCAACAGATACCAGTCCCAACAGGAGCGCTGCGATACCAAACCTCCTTCGTCTTTCCCTCCTTTCGCCACTGGACCTCAGAGCTGCCGCCTTCCCCATTAGAGCCCTCACAGCCAAGCAACGCTCCACCGCAGCTAAAGCCAGCAGTAGGACGGCCCACTCGGAGGAGAACACTGCGAGGAAGCCCACCACATGACACCCGGCGCCTGTTTCCCACCACACGCCATACTCTGCAAATGAGCCCCAGGTGACCGCGTCCAGGAGTGTCAGTGCTGCCACGTAGACCCCTGTCAGCAGGTTAGCAGAGGCCAGGAGAGCCACCAGGAGGCGGGCCGGGGAGAGAGGGGAGGTGTGTGGGGAGAAGGTGGCGGCGAGGACCAGGCAGTTGAAGAGGAGCGCCACCAGGCAGATGAACCACACAGTCAATCGGATCATCCAGCTTCCCAACAAGAGTTCGCAAGGTTTAAATGCCCCTGAAAGAGGAAACCCACAGAGAGCCGAAGTATGAGAGGTGCATCAGAAGCTAAATCAACATTTCACAATGTTAAAAAATGTTTGTGAAAAAATAAATACATAAATAAATAAAAATCTCAAACAACTTAAACTACCGTTCAAAATTTTTGGGGTTAGATTGATGTTTTTGAAAGAAGTCTCTTATATGCTCACCAAGGCTGCATGTATTTGACCAAAAAATACGGTAAAACAGTAATATTGTGAAATAATATTACAATGTAAAATATATTTAAAATGTAATTCATTCCTGTGATGCAAAGCTGAATTTTCAGTATCATTACCCCTGCCTTCTGTGTCACATGATCCTTCAGAAATCATTCTAATATGCTAATTTCATAATAATAAGAAATGTTTCTTAAGCACCAAATGTTTAAAACAGTTGTGCTGCTTCTTGAACAGGAAGCTCATAAGAACAACATTTATTTAAAATAATTTTTTTTGTAACATTACAAATGTCTCTACTGTCACTTTTGATCAATTTAATTTATTTTACTGACCTCAAACCTTTGAAAGGCAGTGTACACATTAGGTATGCACAGATATTATTATTAGTTACAACTACGATAAGCAGGTAATTATTTTCATGTAACGGCCAATAACCTGATTTCGTGTAATGCCAGATATGAAAATTCTATACTATTTTGTGTAAATTTAAAATAATCATTTTAAATGTTACAAGTGAATTTAAGCGTCACAACATTATAATGTACAGTATAAAAAAATCTGATATTAATTTTGAGATTACAAGCGTTATTCAATTATTAGTGTTTTTAAAGATCTTTATGTGATCTTTATATAATCTAAATGTTAAAATAGTGGAAATTGGAATTTAAATATCCACTACCAGCCAATAAATATCTAATATTCTGTGATACCAAATAAAAACAAAGCATAATACGATACAGATGTATTGTGCATCCCTATTACATAGAATGCATGTGCTATGTGACTTTAATCTGTATCTCGTAACATTTCATTACCCAGAGTGCTATGTGACTTTAATCTGTATCTCGTAACATTTCATTATCCAGAGTTCTCTGGCTATAGCAAAAGGAGAGAAAAAGAGACTTTTTTGTATTTACCGGGTGATGGTGAACAGTGCATGACCAGAGGAATCCTTTCCATCTCCTCCTCGCCACCTAACATATATATTTATATGCATGTCAGCTAAGAGAAACATAATACCACACATAAATACAGCCAGACCACTTCATTCAATCACATGCAGCCACAAACACCAAAGCAGCAAGCAGCTGAGCTGAACTGCATTATAGTGCACACCAAAAAGTCATACCAAATGCATTTCTCCGCTCGTCATCCTCCGCTGAGTTAACTGCACTGTCACAAGCCACAAAAGCACAACACTGGTATGCATAGGGAACCGTTATAGACCTGTGGGGACAAAGAGAGAGAGCGTGAGCGAGAGAGAGAGACAAACTGCTTTGGAAGACCCAAAGAGTTACTTAATTATCTGGGGTTTGATCAAAGAAAGGCTCAAGGTCTCTCTGGTTTCTTGAGAACACTGTAAGTGTGATTACAGAGTACGACGGGTGAAGGTGGGGACGTCACGTCATTATTCATATAAACTGAACTGGGACACAGGCGCAACCTTAATGACCTGTAATCAGTCACAGCTCATGAGTAGAGCTGTGAAGAGCTCTAACCTGAGTTTAGGCAGACTCTTAGACATTAGGCCGTTCCTCAGCTCCACGTTTCCAGTCAATTTAAGCTGGTTCAGTGCACTCAGTCCTGCGGTAGGAACGCTGGCTAGGGAGTTCAGACTGAGATCCCTAATGGCATGATGGAAAAAAGGCAATTATATTCATGAACACACACACACACACACACTCACACAAGAAAGCCCCGTATGGCTTTGTTGTTTAATCAGAGGCACTCTAGTGGAGAAACTGCATGAAAGTACTTTTGATATCTTTAAGTAATTCAACAGCAATGTATGATAAATTAAATCATGACAATTAGGGCTGCACGATAAATCGCATGCGATATTTAATGCGCATCTTGTCAGAAAGCCGGTTCTGTAATCAGCGTAAATCTCCATCACCTGCGGGCTTTCACATTGAGCAGCATTAACTACACAGAGCCGTTGTTTACTGACGAGCTGCACAAAAAATCGCGCGAATATGAACGTGGTTTTGCGCAGCTCGTCAGTGAACAACGGCTCTGTGTAGTTAATGCTGCTCAATGTGAAAGCCCGCAGGTGATGGAGATTTACGCTGATTACAGAACCGG